TTAGTAAGTTTTTACATGATTTTAGGCGAAATGTGAATTTATTAAGGTTTTTGTTAAACCACACTAAAATTTTATCAAAAATCATTAGACTTGGATTTTTTTTTTTTATCTTTAAAAATTCATATAAAAATTCTAAAATGATTAGAATAATCTCTTTTTTTTGGCACGACTGTATTCAATAATTAGAATACACGATTAATTTATATTTAATAACAGTAGATTCAAAATATTTATCAAATAATAAGTTTTAATAATATCTAAAAGAAAATCATGAATAGCAGTGTATCTCAAACTTTTAGTTGAATACAATCAATACTATTAAAAGAGAAGGAGTCTTAAAAAATCTACCTATACAAGTTGTTTGGACCCTTTCATTTAATTACTTATTTTTTGGTCTTACCTTAAATTTCTCTAACTATATAACATTTAATACATTTAAAATTAATCCTAACAGATTTTAATTAATATTCCACTAACTTACCTTTTAATTATTACTCGACTAAACGNAATCAATACTATTAAAAGAGAAGGAGTCTTAAAAAATCTACCTATACAAGTTGTTTGGACCCTTTCATTTAATTACTTATTTTTTGGTCTTACCTTAAATTTCTCTAACTATATAACATTTAATACATTTAAAATTAATCCTAACAGATTTTAATTAATATTCCACTAACTTACCTTTTAATTATTACTCGACTAAACGTTTATAAATCATATTTTGGACGGATACTAAGTGGACCAAAGATTAATACATATGTATAAATCAAATATACTAAAATATCATCATCTCTATACATGTCTCATGATGTATCCTAATACACCAAAATTATATATGTTGTTCCTTTTATCAAATTGTGGTTCTCAAAATCAAAAAGTTCCAAAAGTATATAATTTAACATGCAAGATTTAATTTGGGTATTCGAATATTCGTTTTGGTATCTTCAAATATTTAAGATTCGAAAAAATAAAAATACCCAAAATAGATTTTAAAAATCAAAATATATCTACAAATATTCAAATACTCAAATTGTTTTCCAAAAAATGATAAGAGGACTCGAAACTACCAAAATATTACTCAAATTATATTTTTAAATATAAAATTTACCTTAAACTCGAAACAATAACAAATAACTCTAACCCAAAACATAAAAGTATTTGTAATACCTAAAATATAATATAATAATCTAATATAACATATATATCCAAAAAATTTGAGGAATTTCAAATATCTGATGGGATCTCAGGTAGGATACATACCCGAAATAAGACC